AAAGGAACTTTTTTTTTTGCAAAGATTGTGTATGCCACTGAAAAATATCCCTCAGTTCATCTTGAGCATTTATTTTTAAATAGCCAGAAAAACATAATCTTTCATTTTGCCTGCCTGCCTTGTTAACTGTAGCCTTTTCATTTTCAGCAAAGCTCTTTGTCACAAGATCAAACTCATCAATCAGAGAAGCAGTGAATATGAGTAAGTTCTAAATTTGAGTGACTGCCCAATTATATCTTGTAAATCTTTTTTTAAAAAAAGCTTTTGTAACTGTAAAACAGGTGAGAGATTTATCCCAAATATATTTTTTTAAAAAAAGACTTTCATGTCCTTTCATCTCTGCCCTTGAACTACAGCTGGCAAAGAACAAAGATAGTCCTTTTGTTCTGGAGAACTACATGCAAGCTTGTGTCACTAAAGGAAACAGAGACTTTGAAACTCTTGTGCTCTTAACTTGCAAAGCAAGTTAGAAGCCTCCTGTGCCCCTTGACAATAATTAGGCTTTTATTTTTCTTATAGCATGCTGAAAGTTACCTTGGGCTACTGAGGAGAAAGCGTGGCTGTAGGAAGGGGAGAAGTATATAAGGGAAAATACTGGGTGCCATGTACCTCAGTTAACTTTTAAAGTATCTTTTTGTTTTACAGTTGAATTTTCAGAGCCTATTTATGAACTCTAGTTTTTCCTGCCTTTCAGTATATTTCTCTCCTCTTTGCATAGATACTTCATTGTAAGTTAAAATGGTTTTGCTTGATCTTCACTGTTCTGAAAATCTGTAGATTCACAGGCCTTCTCTGTGGTGGCATCTGCAGTCTGAGACACTTTACTTTGAATTTTGTGACATACCTGTTACATCTGTCAAAGGCATCCCATAGGCCATGCCTGTATGAATGCTGAAGGAATGTGCAAATGTTGTTGATTTGTAAATGAAGTATTCTCAAGATCTCCAGATCATTCTGTTCATCCTCCAGACCATGCTGAACCCCCATGAGTGGGGATGGTATGAATGGAACATTCCAGAATTCTGTAGAATACTCCATTCCTGAATTAACAAATTCTGCATACCACCAGAATGCTAGATGCATGTATTTCTTAGTTATGTTTTCCTGTTCCTCATATTTTTTTAGCAAATTCCATGTTATGTTGTTTTAATTTATAGTTTTTATTTTTGTGTTTTACATTTTCAAGATGCATTGCATAGAACGTGAAATAAAATAAATATAAGGGGCTGAATAAATGAATTACAGATAAGTAGTTTCTGCTTTTTAAAAATCTTTATAAAATTGTTCCTTGTCCAACTTTTTGTTCTATTTATTTTTAGCATGTTCAGCCCTTGGTGTTGACCAATTAGATTCTGTGATCATTGCTCCTCCTCCAACTGAAGATGGAATTAATCTTTCTTTAGAATATTTACAACCTTACTGGACAGAGCTTGAAAACTTAGTTCAGAACAAAAAGATTGTTGCCATAGGGACTTCTGATCTAGATAAAACATTGCTAGAACAGCTCTTCATGTGGGCACAGGTAAGAAAGAAGCTGTTCATTATGAATTCATCTTTCATTAAAAACACAATTTTTATATATACCAAGTAATAAAGATACCATAGCATTACTAGGAATACTGAATCCTTAAATTTTTTTTTAGGTGAAACCAAGTAGTAACCAAGTGAATCTTGCGTCCTGTTGTGTAATGCCACCAGATCTGACTTTATTTGCAAAAGAATTTGATATTCAGCTGTTAACTCATAACGACCCAAAAGGTAAAGTCAGCTTAAGAATCCCCGGACTACCTTGTTAGATTAAACAAGAAAAATTCTATTAATCAGCCTGAGGACTCCAACTTTTCTAAAGCCCTTCTGAATGTGGGTTGGTTGGATATAAATGCAGCCTGGAAAACCTCTTTGAAAACTCTTTTGTTCCCATTATGTTGGGTGGGAGGATGGGGAAATACTAGTCCATTAGATGAAACATAACATATTACATGAGATGGTATCTATTATGCACGGTGTAAAAGAGGATTTTCCAAGTTTACAACTTGGAAAGCCCCAGCAGTGCCTCCTGTGATCTGATTATGTTGTTACAGGACTCCAATCTCAGAAATCTCAGGTGAGGTTGTAACATTTTGAAAGTATCAGCTCTGTTACTAAGAACTCTGCCGCAAGTTGGGGGTGGGGAAAATGATATAATTTTAAACACTTAAAATAATAGGTAGGCCAGTGTTTTATGATGAGTGTGGGGATATACTTCTTGCTTTATAGGGTAATACTGGTAGCACATATACTAAAATACTACTCTATGATCTGTTCAACTCTTAGAATTGCTTTGCGAAACAAGTTTCCAGGAAACTCTTCAGGAAAGTCTCCCAGATTGCCAGGGGCATGAATGGACTCCCCTCTGGCTTCTGCGATATTCAGTCATTGTTAAAAGCAGAGGAATTATCAAATCCAAAGGCTACATCTTGCAAGCTAAAAGGATCCCATCATCTTAAGACTGATCTTGACAATTGGCTACTTCTGAGAGACCCTGTTTCTACTAGATATTGAACCTAGTAGTAGTTTTTTTATTGACAGGTTAACATTAAGATCCAGATTACATAGTGGGGTGGTACTCTGACCCCATTCTTTCCATTTCATTTATTTTCACATACTGTATGGTGATCTGTGTTGAGATCCATTGGCTCACATGTAGAATATTGTTTTTTGTTAAAATGCTAATTTGGAGATATTATATGTAATCTTTGGAATATTTTAATGACTAATATAAATTTAAAATCTAGCTAGCTATATTTTGATTGAAATATTTTTATTTGTAAGACATAATTGACTTGTTATACTTTATGGCTGCTGAGCTGATAGAGGATTAAATGTACCACATCTTGGTGGAATAAGCAGTTGATTTAACCAGCAGTAAAAATTAAGTGTATGTGAAATATTTAATAGAGTCATGAATTTATATTCAGTTCACTGTCCCTCAAAGATCACTATCAGAGTTTGCCGTAGCTATTCACAATTTTATTATGTTCGTTCACTATCATTTTCTTCTTGGCATATTTCCAGATTTTTATTTAACATCGAATTAGATGGCCCTATTGAAGGGTAGAATTAAGTTTTTAAAAATTTGTTTTGCTGAAGTTAAAACATACTTATATTTTGAAAGTCATAAAAAGATGTATTACTATATATAAATTTCAGCATTGCACTGAGTGTAGCTTATCGGACGTTTTTAGGAATTCTTAAAAATAACCGGAGATGCAGTTAAGTTACTTTTCGAAGTTTGTGGTTTCTTCAAAAGAAATTTAGTGCATTCAGTACTCTTAAGTACTTAATTTAATTTTTTTTAAAAACTGCTGCAGTTAAAAGAATATTTTAATTTAGATTATCTCTAAAGAGGCTGGCTTATTGAGACTTCTGTAGTCAACAATGTATATTTTTTGCCATTTGAATGTGTATTTGTGTGTTATTAATGCACAAATGAAAGTTATGTAAGAGATGCAAACTTTACCTGGAGTCTAAACTTTTAATTTATAAATGAAAATAATGTTATAGGCAGCTTTACTAAATGTTTTATAATGTCCATCATAACATATTCACATACTTGGATTCATTCCAGTGGGTAAACTTCTTATGCTTTATATTAAAACAATTTTGCATAAGAGGGTTTAATATGTGATGGTGTTTGAATTCCACAATATATTAAGCATGGAAAAAACATGCTTAATTCAAATTTCAGCTTTTACCTTGAATTAGATTCTATTGATATCATTGGAGCGTTAGTGATAATTAATGCAATGAGGCCATGTATCAGGTTACTTGGGAGGAGTCCTTAAAAAATGAATACATCAACTGAAATAAAATTTATCTGACAACATTCTGGATTGAATTTTGATGTGCTGCTTTAAATAAATAAAGATACAGATAAAAATAGTTATAGAATATACAAAAGAAGTGGGTTTTTTTATAAGATTTGGGTTGGAATATGAAGTACATTGAAATGAATACATCAACTGAAATAAAATTTATCTGACAACATTCTGGATTGAATTTTGATGTGCTGCTTTAAATAAATAAAGATACAGATAAAAATAGTTATAGAATATACAAAAGAAGTGGGTTTTTTTATAAGATTTGGGTTGGAATATGAAGTACATTGAGCAGGTGTTTTCTGTAGTTTCTCAGTTCTTAAATTTCTGTAGTGAATGAACTTTTTATTAGTTTGCAGTTATTATGGATTAAAAGAAATCTTGAGCTTGATACAGAAAAAATTGTGACAACTGTTTGAATCTTTATAGATTTTGGGGGAAACATGGGGCGATTTTTTATCCACTAGTTTTCCACAAAGTCTGCTGGCTGAAAATTTCACATAAAATACAGTTCATTATTACTATCTTCATAATCTGTTTTAAAGTACCCATTTTGTTACCTCAAGAGAATACACTCCACTGTAATAGTGAAAGCAAACATGTTCCTGATAGGGTTGAGGTCTAAGGGATCTTTTTCCAGTCCTAATTTTTCAAGCAACAGCTTCTGTTTCCAGCTCATGGAATAGATGAAATAACTATATGGTTGAATTTTAAATTAACTTCATAATGGCTATGAAATTTCCATTTTACACTGAGGGCATAGCTGGTAGTTTCTAAAACTCCTTTGTTAATTTTTGTCGAGCAGTGCAAAAGGGATTTCTTTTTGAAGTAATATTTTCCTTTAAACATTATGACAAATTTGATAAATACTATAAACATTCTGAAAAAAATATTAGCAAAAACTCTAGAACCACTTCTTGACACGCAGAAACTAGGATTATTATTTCAGAACTCTAATGAAAGTATGTATATGGTGTTCTTGAGCTGATGCACCTGCAAGGAAATAAAAATCCAAATTTGTGAGTTTTTTTTTAATGGCAGCGTTGATCTAACACTGATTTTCTTTTTTAACTAAGCAAATACCTTAAAACATAATCATCTAAGGCTAAACATATTTGCCTTCCATATTCAGATTTAGGTAAAAGCGGCTATATTTATATAGAGAGTGATAGCCACCTCCGTTTCCATTTTATTGTGGAAATGAAAGAGTTGCCTGTGACTCAAGGAGCTTTCCCAACCCTATTTCCCTCTGAATGAATCTGGATGCATCCCCCATCATCCAGAACTGGTGAGGGCGATGGGGATTGTAGTCCAGGTCATTGCTGCTTTCTGCATATAAAACGCTAGCCTTGGGCTGAGGTGAGGGCTCTTCTGAAGAATAACCCGAAGCAAAGGTTAAGCATTGTGGAGCTTGCCCGCATTCTTTTAGCTCCTAATAACGCTTAATTGCAGTCCAATCATCCCCAGCTGTGCTGACTGGGACTGAGGAGGAGCAGGCTGCAGAAAACTGCTCTCTTCTCTCCCAGCCTCGTTTCCGCCTTCTTGAGTAGCTTTCATCCGCCAACCTCCGAGAAATGGGCGGAGGCTGGGCAGGAAGTTTTCGGGCGGAGCCCTTTCGGAGGCGCGAAGCCACCTGGAAGTGAACCAGAACAATTGCTTCCTTCTGCACATGCCGGAAAAATGGTGGTCACCAGACGGGTAACGCGGCTGAGTGCGTCGAAGGCAGGGAGCCAAGCTCTCCTTGCGGCTGCAGAGGTGAGGGGAGCAGAGGGAGGCGCGCGGAGCCGGCGGCCCCCCCAGCACATCTCCGTCGAGTTCGACCCGCGCACGCGCGTGGAACTTCGAATGCTCTCAGCCATTCCACTCCCGAACGTTCTCACTGTTCGGGGGCGCGCGCCGCGTCTGTGCGCTGGGGTTGGGTCGCGTGGCTTTAGAGCCGGACTAGGGCTGAAGGCTTCAAGCTTGGGAGTCTTTTCGGGGACGAAGGCGAGTCTACTGTGTCTCTCTGCATTGACAGGGGACGCAGTGCTGATGGTTTCTCACTTTGAACATTTACGTTGGCTGTGGGAGGAGGAGGGCAGGGCAACCTCGGAACGCGCCGGGTCGGGTTGTGATGGTGAATTCTTGTCAGGCTCAGCGTAACGAGACGCTCTCGTTTCTGGTTTGGGCAAAAAGGTGGGGTGATAGCACCGTCGCCGCCGTTATCTGACGTGGTGGAAATCGTAGAGACCTCAAGCTTTGAGTTAAGTTCCTTTATTCCTTTTGGAATATAATAGTGGTGGAAGTGTGATCTTGTCTGCATCGTGGACTAGCGGTGAGATATATGGAGCAATACATTGGACTACTCTGCAATATTGCTATCAACCTAAATATTTTTCTATTTTTAATTTTATCCGGAAATCATCCTTCCAAAGTCTGAGAACTGATGTCTCTATGGGAATCTTGAATCACACTGAAAGAAATTCAGAATAATTTTCTTCCATCATTTTAATAATGTTTATGTAATACTGTTCCACTGAGAAGCATGAAAGGTTTTTCCCTTTGTCGCTTTCTGCCTGCCTTTCCCCCTCAGCCACAAAATTTGTTTATAGCTTTGTAATATTTCCTCTGTTTTTCAATTAACTGATTCTATTGTGATTTTTGAAATAAGATGACTGATTGATCATCTGCTTTCTCTCTCCCTCTTGTTTTATTCACAGGTTCCCTTTCTTAGAAATAACACTGGTAAAATTCAGAGGGCACAGGGCTTCTCCAATGTTTTTGTATCATACTGCATGTGCTCATCAGTGCAACAGTTATCTGCCTCACATCTCACCTACCTGTGCTTCTGTGATGAATCAGTTTATCAGAGCCGATAGCAGAGTTGGTTATTTATCCATTCATTTGAGAACTAGGTAGAGATACTTATAATTGGGCATTTTTCTCATTGCAAAAATCAGATTAGTAAAAGTTCCCTTCTTAAGTTTTTTGGGGGGGCAGTTGGCTTGGGATGTAACGTTCAAGTAACATGTTTCTTATTTTACCTTTCCTTAGTTTTTCTTTCTTGCAAACGTAAGTTCTGGTTTTCTGAGCCAAGTAACTTTTTTTTTTCTTTTACAAATGGTTGTGGTTTGAATTAATCAGCCCTGTGCTGCGAGCGTTTGTGGGGGGAGTATTCTCTCTGTGCTGTTTTGGCAAGATAATCTTTACAGAAGAGGCTGAGTAACAAATGAAATGCTTAGGTTATGTTTGGAAATTTGGGTAGGAAACCAAATTTGCTTTCCCTTGTCTGGGGCAGCTCCTGCTAGACCATGCCCCACAAGCTGCCCTGGGCACCAGACATGTTTCATTATAGCTGTGAAGTAAGGAAAATAGTTATTAGTGAAAAAAATTTAAGCTTATCTTAATGTTTTAGGTCCAGCAGTATAAAATCTAGAATGCAAGGCTGACAGAAACTAGTACTACTCATAATATACATGGATTTATAAACAAGCTGACACAGAAAATCAACTTTATGATAACAGGCATAACATTGTTTCTTGACTACAATAGTTAATTAATGCTTCAGAATTTGTGAGTTTCTCATGGAGCAAGAATTTACTTTATTTATATATTTATTTTCTTTCTTTTTTTTGCTTGTTACCTGACATTCTTTTCATTCTTACAGCAGACTGCGATGGAAGACAGTCCATCTGTGAGGACAACTAGAAGCAGAACAAGAATGATTTCCCATACAAAAGTCATTTCTGAATCTCATCCTGCAGAAATGAAAGCTTCTGAAACAAAATTGGATGCAGAAGAGCCTTTAGAACCACGCGTAGTCTTGAGTAAGGGTAAAATTGAGTGCCTAGCAGATTCAGCAGCAGAACTGCAAGCTGATGGAGATGTTTCAGAAGCAGAATCAACCTGTTCTTCTATGTCTGGTCTTCAAACACCATCATTTATACGAATAACAAGAAGGCGGCAAATTGTAATTCCTTGTGCCCTAGAGACTTCAGCTAAAAACAGGCAAAGCAAGAAAGCTTTTGTGAATGAAAGTAGTAATTGTCAAGATGATGATGTTTCTGAAACAGAATCATGTTCTTCTGCTGTATCAGGAACAAGGACCCCAAGAACTGGAAGAAAGTCTAGGCGTCGACAGACCAAGATTAATGTATCACCAGTGTGTGAGGTTCAAACTGAAGAGGTTTCTGATACTGAATCATGGTGCTCAGGTATTTCCTTAGAACCTTCTGGCCCATTTAAACGAGTGACCAGGAGTATGCGACGGAAATTGCAAGCAGAAGCAACATCCCAGACTGAAAGGAAAAGTGATGCTTTAGGAGAGAATGCACAAGCACCTGAGTGTGTATTTACATCCCAGATAATAGTAATCTCTGATTCGGAGGAACCCACCATTTCTGATTTAAATACTGAAGAAGCACCTTCTGTTTCTTCAGACTGGATAAAAGAGCACCTTAGCCCCAGTAAAACAAAGTGTCTTTCTGAATCTGTTGCCTGCAATGATCCAGAACACATTTTCTCAAGCAGTGCTGAAGAAGTAACAAGGGAATCTAATAAAAAATTGTCTAAACAGGAGATGTTAAAGGACAGTGATTATGAATTGGAGCATTCCACAGAAGTGCAAAATGACAAGTTTATAAGGGAATCTGTTTCAAAACAAAAAGTAGTGGATATAAATGAAATAGTTGAGCATCCAGAGGAAGTATGTGATCAATCTTTAGAAAAACCCAGAAAGGTAACTGAAAACCAGTTGCCTTCAAAGAGTTCAAGTATATCTCCATGTGATCCAAGAAACCTTGAGCAATCTAATGAGTCCTCAAGAAAAGCAACAGCAAATAAAAACAAGAGGTTAAAACCCCCAATTGTTAGACAGAGCTATTTACATAAAAGAGAAGAAATAATAGATAGAGATGCCTTTTCTGAAGTAGGTAGCCCCACAAACAAAATTATCTCATCACAGACTGTTAACAGAAATGACTGCAGGCCTTCTATTTCAAGCATAGACAGTGATGGAAGCCTGAAAGAG